CGGCCGCAGAGTGCGGGGCGGTGAGGCGGGCTGGGCGGGGAGCCAGTGTCTGGAGCAAGAGAGAGGCTCCTGCTGGGAGGCTTCTGAGAGCTGGGGGGACAGCAGGACAGCCTGACCCAGCCCTCGCCCTGCCCTTCTTCAAGCTGTGGGCAGCACCAGAGGCTCCATGTCCTTGCAGACGTTTCGTATCCCTGCAGAAGCATGTCCAGCAGCCACTGCCCAGCTGGTGTCCTTGTTCCTCCAGGAGACGTCCTCCCTTGGGCTGCCCAACCTGTATGGCAAAACTCAAGGGACAAATGAATGCAGCTCCATCACTTGCAGGAGGTTGCCTTTCTTTCCAAAAGTCACCTGGTGCACGGCAAAGTCCCCCACCTTTGCTTGCTGGGCCCGGTGCAGGTCCTTGCTTGGTGTCAACCTGCAAGAACCACACGGCAGGTTTCCTCCCAGCTCCTCCCAGCCTGACACACTGGCCTTCCTGGGGCCACTTCCAACCCTTTCGGCCCCCAGAGTGGCACCATGGGATCCTCCCTCCCTACCTCCCTCCTGCCCAAGCTCACCCTCCTTGCCACACATCCCTGGCACCACAGCACAGCCCAAGCTGAGGGAGACAGCTATGCTCACCTCTGGCTGGCCCCCCACCAGCTTCTGCAGGCTCCTGGTGCTAGGTGTCCTCCACTGGGCAAGAGAGGAGTGGGAGAAGGTGAGCAGTGATGTCTCTGCTGCTGGGCTGCAGCAGTGCTGGGGGGCAGAGCCCACACCAGGGAGACACTCACAGCATGGCGATGGCTCAGCTCCTTCTCCAGGAGTCGGAGCGATGGCAGGAGGCTCACTCGGGCTCCTTGGGCTCCTTCAGATGTCCTGTGCAGCAGGAAGGGAGAGGGTGGGAGTTGGCTGAGCCCCGAGATGCCTCTTCTCTCCTGGCAGGCACCTCTGCCTGAGACCTGCCTGCAGCTGTGGGCCCCTCTCCCGAGCCAGAAGCTCTGCTCCCCCATCCAGCTGCCCCTGCAGCATCCCGCCTTACCCCTGCAGCGTGCCCAGCCACCGCTCCTTCAGATCGTGGGAGCTGCAGGAAGAGAGAAGCACGAGCTGACTGCCTGGGGCAGAGGTGGGCAGGGCAAAACCCCCCAGTGGGGCAGCACAGAGGGGCTGCCTAAGCCCTGGCTCCCTCTGTCCTGCTAGAGCAGCTGCCTTTGCCCTTCCCTGCTGGAGACGAGAGGGGGACCTCCTAGCCCAGGCTCTGCAGGGAGGGCATGGGCCATGGTCAGGATGACAGGCGCACTGCTGGGAACCTCTCCTGCCCAGCCGTGGGCACCATGACTCACCCAAAATCCACAATGCAGGAGCCGCTGGGCCAGCTGAAGATGAGGGAGGTCCTGTTCTCCTCACTGCCACCCTCCTCCTCTTGCTCTGGTGCCACCTCCTTCCTGCAGCCGAGCACCCACAGCTGGTCCAGGGCCAGGCGGAGCTGTGGGCGCAGGGTGGTGCCACCTCTGTGGAGAGAAGCATCTGACAGTCAGCGGGAGGTGGCCTCCTCAGGTGTCCCTATGCAGAGGACAGTGTCCTTGGGACGGACAGTGCATCCAGCTCCAAGGTGTCCCAGGGGCAGGGCTGGGGAAAGGCAGCTGGGCTCTGAGTGGCTTACTGCAACTTGGCCACCACCAGTTCCTCCTGAAGGAGGAGAAGGTGCCTCTTGCTCCTCTTGCGGCCCTGGGTCAGACACACATCTGTGCTCAGCAGCACCTCGGCCTCGCTGAGAGCCTCCCTGCAGAGCAGAGAGCAGCAGCCATCAGCAAGGCTGCTGCTCTGGGCCCTACCTGGGACAGTCCTGCACGTCCCTGAGCCACAGGACAGGGAGCCCACCTGGAGCCAAAGCAGCAGCTGGCCTGGCCCATCCTGCCCGGACAGGAGGCACCAAGGATGTGGTGCAGCCGGTGACAGCAAGAAGAAGCAGGTCCTGGTGCTGTTGCAGCTCTGCTCAGCCAGCCCTGCTCCCTGTTGCTGTGTCTGGTGGCTGTTGGCTCCAACTGACCCCAGCACTGATCCCAACGGAAAGCTGGGATCCTGGTGGGCCCTGGGATTGGACGTTCTCTCCAATATAGCTGACAGGCTTGCCCTGGGGAGGCCAGAACACACAGCAGAGTGGAAGGACTATCTCCTTCCACGTGCTGGCACTGCCCCTCTTCTTGGGCTTCACCACTGGTTAGCGGCCTCAAACTAGACTTGGAGCCATTCCTCATCACTCTTGGGGCCTGGCCGCCCAACTCCTTTTCCATGCCCTATGTTGCTCCTCAGCCCCCATGGTGGTTGCTCTCTTCCATTCCTCAGGCACCTCTTTTGGAGTGCCCTCAAAAGCCCATCTGCCAGCTCCTCAGCACATGAGGAGCACCCCATCGGAGCCCAACAGGGGCTGGTGTGTGTCCCCTTTGCTGCAGTGTCCTCTCATCCAAGAAGCGAGACACCTGGTCTTCCCAGATCCTTTTGCACTGAGGGGACCCCTTCTTTGGTCCAGGTATTCCCCCAGGTCTTGCTAGGACCAGCATGTCCCAGGAAGCTTGGCAGAACCTAGACCAGCCTCAAGCACTGCCATGGCCTAGTGACACCATTTAGTTGGTCAGCAGATTGACATTCAAGACCCTGCCCGATGCAGGAGGAGGTGCTGTAGAAACCTTCAAGTGCCAGTGAGCTGTTGGTGTCCTACACTTCTGCATATGCAGCCCATGCCTGTCCTCCAGCCCCACCAGCTGGCCCTGCTCCTCCTGGCAGGTTCAGACACATCCTCACTTTCCCTTCTGTCTCTGGAGACCTGTTCCCTGCTGGGGGTGGTGGTGCCCATGCTGAGCTATTCCTCAGCAGCATCCTGCAGTGAGAGCAGCAGGTCTGTGCTGGGGGCAGCCTTCCCACTGCAGGTGTTCCCACCACCTCCAGGAGTAAAGCCACCTCAGCTACTCATGGCTCGAAGGGCTCAAGTCCTCTGCAGGTTCATAAGCCTGGATTCATACGTACAACTTTGTGAATCAGTGGCTAGTTCTGCAGAGCTGAATTAATCTCTGCAGTTCCCATGTGCTTTTTGTTTAGCTGACTTGGGAGCCAGAACAAAGGTGGTCTACCAATAAAATTCATGCAACAGAAGAGTAATAATGGACTGAGAACAGAAGCTCAGGGACATTTGGTGCTTCAAAAAGAGATAATTGAAAAAAATATAGCAAATTAAAATAGCTGAAAAGAGATCTCTCTTCTGTCAACGCGGAATTCATAGAATCATAGAATTGTTAAGGTTGGAAGGGACCTTAAAGATCATCTAGTTCCAACCCCCCTGCTATGAGCAGGGACCCCTACCACTAGTGACCAAGTTGCACAAAACCTCATCCAACCTGGATGATTCTGGATTCAATTGTGAAAGAATTTCTGAGGGAATTCAGAAGTTTTAACACAAATGCAATCCTAAAATACTTATTAAGAGCAGTGTTTGAACACCACTATGTGCATGCATGGAGTTAGAAAGATCTTTTTCAAATTCATGTGAAAATAAACCTGGTGTTTGTTTATATATATGGAAAGAACATCTTGTAGCTCTACAGCTGACACCTTTTCTTTACGAAGGAAATTTGGCAGGTTGAAATCACAGTATCACTCTGGTTGGAAAAGACCTTTAAGATCAAGTCCAGCCACTACCCTAACTCTGCTGTGCCCACAACTAAACCCTGGCCCCTGGCACCACATCTATCTTATTAGATATCTCCAGGGATGGTGGCTCAAATGACTGTAGCACCTGAATAACGAGCCCCTCCACAGGCCTGTGCAGGACTGCCCTGGTGTTGTGGTTTGGGTCTAACACAACAAAGAACCAGCCCCGTGACCACTCACTCAACTCCCCCACACACACACTGGGATGGGGAGGACAAACCCAACAAGAAGCTCATGGGTCAAGACATAGGACAAGCAGGGTTCTTCACCAATTAAGGTCCCAGGCAAAACAGACTCAACTTGTGGAAAAATAGTAATTTAATTGTACGCTAATCAATGCCCACAGGACACACACAACATACAGAGCAGGGCTTGCATATGTTATTCTTCCCGGGCCCAAATCCCAGTTTCTCAGTTTCTCTCCCTCCCCCCAATGGCACAGGGGATGGGGTTTAGAGTCAGTTCACAGGCTGGTGGCTCCTGCTGCTCCTTCCTCCTCAGGAAGGATTCCTCACAATCCTGCCCTGCTCCCCACGGGTCCCTCCCATGGCAGATCCTCCACCAACCTCTCCTCCAGGAGCCCTTCCCACCAGCCCGGAGCTGCTCCAGCGCTGCCTGCAGAGTCACAGGATGTTTGAGAACAGGCACCTCCCCTGGCCCGGGGCCTTCCACAGCTGCACCAGCTGAGGCCACAGGCAGAAAATCCTCTGGCCAGAACATCCAAGTCCACTGGCCAAGTTCACCCCTCCTGGCACCCCCAGGGAATGTTCCACCACGTTCCTCCACACGTGCAGGGGCAGAGCTGCCACCTTGCCATGGGCTGCAGGGAAACTGCTTGGGCACCTTCTTCCTCACCAACCACCCAGGATCTTCACCCCAGCACTGCCTTTCAATTCTCCAGCTCAGCTCTTCTTTTTCTTTTCTAAGTGCTCCTCTGCTCAGGTCTTCTCTCAGTCCTTTCTTATTTTAATGGAAGAAGTGCATCTCTTGTCCCTCTGATGGCTCCTTGGTTAGTTTGGAGCAGGGGCAGCTTCTCAGCTTCTTACCTGAAGGGTGCTTACCAGAAGCTTCTTACCAGAACCACCTCTGGGGCCCTTCCCCCTCTACCTCCAACTCCACCAACCCAAACCAGCACACCTGGAGGCTGCAGCATCTCTAGGGCAGCAGAGGTGAGGAGCAGCTTCAGCTCTGCTCTTGCTTCAGCTGTGCACAGAAAGGAAGGACAATCCTTGACTCCTTCCTTAAGCACTTCAGCCTCAACAAAACAAGTATCCTGCAGGTGCAGCTGATACATATTATGCCCCCAAACTGTTGATTGTTCCTGCAGCTCAAGAGAAAGCTTCACCATCGCCTCAACTTTCCTCATGCAGAGTCTACCCGTTGCAGCTCTGATTTATATTATCATCAAGGGGTACAACAAATAAGGCTGGGGATGGAGTCTCTTGAGCTGATGTCCCAGAGGGGAAGTGTGGATTTTGCTCAGGCAGAGATTAGGGAAAAACATTTAAAAATAGGTATTTGGATATTGTGTGTGTCCAACTAATCTGGGGCTGTTGGTTAGGAGATCTCTGGGAATCACCCCAGGTCACCTTGGTCAGTTAGCTCATCCTAACATCACAGTTCAACTACACTAATATCTGAGTCTTGAAAATTTTAGGAGCTTTGTCTAGGAGTGGTGGAATCCATTAATTTTTTGGACAATACCTCCCTTCAATCAGAATATGGACTAATTGAATTATGCTACCCCACAGCAACTGAAAAATGTGGTAAAGATTTTTTAAAAAACCTTTCCTTTTAAAAAGAGTTGGGAGGATAGTAACTAAATTATTAGTGTTAAGCTTGTCCTGGTTTGAGCCAGGATGAAGCCAATTTTCCTTTTACTGATTTTTTTTTTTTCCTTCAATAATCTTTCTTTTAACTAGCACCTGTGTGTTCTAACTGAGACTGATGAGAGTGCAATGTTTTTCTAACTGCTGGGTCTACAAGGAGAAAGTCTAGAGGAGGCCATGAAGATGATCCAAGGGCTGGAGCAGCTCTGCTGTGGAGCCAGGCTGGGAGAGTTGGGGTGTTGAGCCTGGAGAAGAGAAGGCTCCAGGGAGACCTTAGAGCACCTTCCAGTGCCTGAAGGGGCTCCAGGAAAGCTGGGGAGGGACTTGGGACAAGGGCAAGGAGGGAGAGGACAAGGGAGAAGGGATGAAAACTGGAAGAGGGGAGATTGAGGTGAGAGATGAGGAGGAAATTCTGGAGTGTGAGGGTGGTGAGACCCTGGCCCAGGTTGCCCAGAAAAGCTGTGGCTGCCCCATCCCTGGCAGTGTTGAAGGGCAGGTTGGATGGGGCTTGGAGCAGCCTGGGCTGGTGGGAGGTGTCCCTGCCCATGCAGGGGGTTGGATCTGGATGATCTTTAACGTCCTTTCTAACTCAAACTCTTTAAGAAAAGCTATAACAGTAGCTGTGATAGTTTTACACTGGGGAGGACAAGGAACCTGCCCTAAAGGCATCAGGTGCAGGCAGGAAATGGTTTTAGAAAGTTACTGTGGTTGACAACATTACATCCTGTAGCTGCGAACTCAGTGTTTTTGACAGCTGGGTCTCCATGGAAATAAGTACTCTAAGACTGCAGCTATTTTAAGAACTTAAAGGACTCTGGAAGGTTGTGGATAGGTCCTACATCTGGTGGAAATCAGTTGACGTGGGGGCAATTAATGTCTCCTACTTGTCCTGCCTGTGATAACTTAATTGAGCAATAACAGGATTGCAAAGAAAGGTGCCTGCTTTGGCAAGAGAGTGTCAAGTGCCCAGGGACATACAAGAAAGAAGCAGCTTGTGCTCAATCCTGGTTTCATCTGGTTCAGGACACAGGCAGTAAAACCAGTGGAGACCATCTTAAAGGCTTTATGACAGAAAGCAAAAACTAAACAAAACAAAGATAAGTGTTATTTAAATTCACTTAGTTAAGACTTAGTTAAATTCAGTATTCTAATGTGCATACCTGGCAAGCTCCCACAGTTTGCATTACCAACTCTAGCATGTCAAGGTACAGCTGATCTTATGATAAAGACCAGTGCTGCACAGTGTCCCACTGCTTTTTTTGCACCAGCCCACCTCTACCACTATGCCTAAGCTGCTCACCTGAGAACTCTCTCTTCTGCAGAGGCCTCAGAAACCTCTTTAAAGA